TTCTTTAAGAGCACCAGTCTAGCCTCTTTCCAGCCTGAAGGAAAGACTCCGACTCTGAGGCAACTGTTGAACAGTTGTCTTAGTCTTCCCCCCAGTCCGGCGGCGAGAGCTAACACCCAGACTCGGCCATGGATTCCATCAGGACCAGGTGCGGTATTTCGGCTCCTGAGTCGCCTAATGGCTCGGTCCATCTCCTCGTCAGATACCTCAAACTCATTTGACCAGTCGATTGTGTCTGATAAAAATGGGGGGGGGGGGGTCTTTCCTGGATCACAGGAAAGACAGTATTTACTATCGTTTCAACGAAGGTGGGATCCAGGGTCTCTGTTAGCGGGGGAACCCATGGTCGGAGCTTACCCAATACCATCTTGTATGGGCGCCCCCATGGGTCCCTATCTAGACCCTTGAGGAGCTCGCTCCAGGACCGAGACTTGGCATCCCCAATTGCTTGTTGGAGTGCTTTCGTAGCGCCTTTATACTCCTCATAAGCTCTTGCCTTATCGTTGGCAGTAGCTCGCCTTCTTCTTTGGGTTCTGGTGTATCGTCGTCGAGCTCGTAAGCAATTGTCACGCAGCCGTGCAATGTCCTCCGTCCACCAGTAAACTGCCTTTGTATGAGAAGACTTGGCCCGGGGCATCGATACATCGCAAATTGATGTCATCGTTGTCCGGAACCAAGCTGCCTCCACTTCCGGATCAGGTAAGACATGACTAGCTTGGGCCTCCGGCCAGGTAGCAACAATGGTTGCAGCTTCGAGCAGATCTGTATTAAGCTGCTTGAGGGACCACCGTCGAGGAGGCCCGCTACTGCCGTGTTGGTAGTTACCTGCGGGAGGGCGGAGCGCCACATCAAATACGATGTGACGGTGATCTGAAAGCGTGACCACTTCCTCCGCTACCCTCCATCCTGAAACCAAGCGCGTAGCGGAAGGGGTGGCCCATGATAGGTCTACAACTGACTCTCCCTGCCATCGTACACATGTACTAACGGATCCTGTATTCAAAAGTCGGAGGTCAAAACCCGCCGCCCATTCCTGTAAGGTCTGCCCCCTTGCATTATTCCGGTTGGACCCCCACTCTCTGGAATGAGCGTTGAAGTCTCCTAGAATAAGAGCAGGACGCCGCAAGTACATATTAAGGCAAATGCCTACCTGGTCCAGGTATGCCTCATAATCAAGCTGCACTTTGGGGAGACATAGCATCCCACTACCGTTAAGATACCCCATTTGACGGCAACGAAACACCCTGACCCCTGGCAATTAAGGAACAGGAAGAGAGACCGACTCCACATCCCCAATATATCGCGACAGAGCCCCCATCGTCCCCGAACCAGCGAGGATGGTCCGGAACCCGGTATGGCTCCGCAACAACAGCCAATGCAACCGACCACTCCGTGAGGGTTTGTAGTAGCAGGTCCTGCGCCGCACGGCAGTGGTTCAGGTTGGTTTGGAGTAGTTTCACGGTGGGTTTGTAGGTGAAGCCTCCATAGCCTCCGGAGCACAAGTAGCCTCAGGTGGAGGAGCCTGCTTTCTCCCCCTCCGTTTTTCCCTCTCTTTAGGTGCGCATGCTTTGGTTTCCAGCCGGTGGTCAGCTGGACGACCAAGATCTACGCATAACGGACACCTAAGAATGCCTGACGTGCAATTACTCGCCTTGTGACCAGGCTCACTGCAAGCGTAGCAGCGCGTACTACGGTCTTGATCACTAGGGCACCTGCTACGTACATGTCCTAACTGAAGGCATCTGTAGCATTGCAGTGACCGTGCTGCTAACACCTGTACCCGTGCTGCCGTTCATCCGACTTGAACGCATTTCGCTGTCGCCAGCTTACGCACCACTGTGAGTGGGCATGGCACTCAAACGGACCCTAGACGCAATGGTAAGCGGCGAATCTCACCAACCTTTACGTCTTTAACGAGGCAACCTCCCGCTTCAGCCACCGCAGCTGCAACTTCTGCTGGAGTGATAGACTCGTCTAAGTCCATCACTCTCAGCTCAGCTAGTTTTCATTGGCCGGGCGATGTGCACGTCCATCTCAGCCAACGCTTCCCGCATTTTTTCAGCTAGCATGTCGGCTTTGGCTGCACAGTCAGGGCCGGTTACTTCCATCTTCAAAGCTCCTGTGACAGCTCTCCTTGCGGACACTCTGTATGCCGCAATCTATCAAATTAACTTTTTGTTTGGCTGCGGCCATAACTGCAGCGTACGATTTTTAACTGTGCTCTGGCACAGTAACTGTTATGGCCGCTGAACTAGGCACCCGTCCTGGCTTTACCACGTTCGCGGGTGGCTTTTTATCCTCCTTCTTCTTCCCCGTGTTTTTTTGGATCACAGTCCCTTTTGATGTTGAATTTATTTGGATGGTGGCCGCTCTTTCCCTTTTTCGACTCGCCACGACTGCCCATGTTTGTGGGGGTAGTGCACCACTCTCCACCACGTTCTCAGAAGGAGTGGAAGTCGATAATTGAACGTGCTCAGTCCTCTTTGCCTTTCCAGATTTCGGCTTTTCAGTACTGGAGCCCAACGGGCCATGTTGCATCGACTGTTCTTGTTCCCGTTCACCTGTTTGACGACTGAAAGCTGCCAGTTTCTGGTCAATGAGTGCGCTAATGCGCTCCATTAACCGGCTTTCGAAGTCACCGTTCCTCGGAAGTTCTTTTGGCTTGTCCACTTTACTCTGCTCTGTCTTTCGGAGAGCTTTGAGCTCTTCTGTGAGCATGCCAACTTTCGCAGTCAGCTCAGCAACCTGAGAGCGCAGCTCAGCGTTTTCGCGCTCCAATCGATCTACGCCGCTTGGCGTTTCGGCTCAGGAGATCTTACCTCCTCCAGCGATTGTGGTTTTCCTTTTCTGCGTTTCCTAGTTACTTCGGAGGCCGTTGACCTAGCTGAGGCAATAGACATTACGGATGAGTCCGACTCTCCTCCTCCACTTCCAACTTCACGTGCTGCTAAGCCGCGCGCCACTAAACGTCCCGTGTTTGGGTCGCGAACTGACGAAACAGTTACGTGATCACTTTGGCCTGTACTAATTTCACTTCCTTCCGGTTTTTTTTTGGGTTCTAGTTTTTTTCATAATAAGTCCCACAAGTATGGGGGAAATATTCAGTCCATCCAGGCAGTGCCCTCCTGTACCCGGATAAGCCTATATACACCCAGGGGTCGGCAGGTACCTGGGGGCGAGTCGCTGCTCTCATCGCTTGAGATTGGGAGTTTTTTTACAGAGGCTTTCTCCTTTTGGCCCAGCCAATGAAGGCAAGGCCCTCGTTCCCGATCAAAGCCGCGAGACATGACCACAGCACTTTGACCAGGTTTACGAGTTCCACGCGCATTCCCGCGACGTGGTCGACGGTGTAGACGAAACCGTAGTCGCATCACCCGCTCAGTGACAGGGTTAGTGAACACAGAGCCCGCCCTTGCTTCTCCAATATGCTTTCTGCTGGTCAGAGGGACACCTGGAGAAACGCCCCCCCGTCAGATTATTCGCTACCAGTCAGTGGCCACAAAGGCCACTGGCTGGTACCCAGGGTGCACCACGAGGAGGTTGTCTGACAAAGCACCCCACAGTTATCGGTTCTTATCACAGCAATCACTTGCTCTTTTCGAGCTTTATTATTTTAACGCGGCGGTTTATGGATGCGGGATTAAAGATTATGATGAAATTCTCTTCTTTCGAGATATTCGCGGGAACTCGGGCGCACAGGCTTGTTATCGATGCGGTGATTGATCATAGACTGAAGGGAAGGGGTTAAGCGGAAGTAAGGATTCGACCAATGAATGAAAGAGTGATTAGCGAATGTAATAATTAGAATGCGTGTGTGCGAATGAAATGGCTAATCCAGATGGAACATTGATGGAAACAAGAGCCCCACGGATGATGTCGTTCAGGGTACCGTGTCGGGAAAAGTGGCCAGCAGTTTTTTGACAAGAAAGCCCGTGGACACCAAATTTTTCTACACTGACAAATCTTTGCTGTGGTTGACAAATCGGTGCCCCCAGACGCGTTCCTACAGCAATGCGTAAGCTTTCATCGTCAAGTAATATGCCCAAGTTACTTGATGGTAAAGCGTGAAGCCAATACTTTCTAAAGATCAGAAGAGAAACGTATCTTTCTGTACCCTCCGCACCAAAGGAATATCCCACTGTTTTTGTAGGTTTATTTCCAGTGGAATGTTCTCGTTGGAGAAGATAGGCAGCCAAGACATCATTGCCTCCTCGGCATAGGAAAGTTCTGAATTGTGATTAAGGACTTTATTACATAAATTACTTACGCTATGCGCGGAAGCAAGGAAGGCAGGTAGATCGACACTAGAAATTTTCCTTTCACCAATACCATCAAAACGAATTGGCAGCGTAGCTTGAGTCCAGCTTAATTCATCTTATCTATAAATATAAAAATGAGTTGCTGTTCGTTACTCTCGCTATAACTCGAAAATGGCTGGATCGATTTGGCTAATTTTGGTTTTGAAATATTTGTGGCAGTCGAAGGAAGGTTTAAACGATGAGAAATTATGGAAAAATTGCATGGAAAATAGAAATATCAACAATTTTATTTTCCCATACAAACTGTACCTATCAACCTGTAAACTATGTCTCTGTAACCTGTCAAACACTTTATGCGTGCGTTCCGATTCCTCTAGAAATTATTTATATGGAAAAACAACGTTTGCCTTTGTCAGGTAGTTAAGAGATAAATTTAGAATTTTTTCTAGAGCTGATTTAAGATGAAAATCAATTTCGTTCAAAAAGTCACGTTCAACAAGTCCACAATTTTGGCTTTAAAAGTGAGTTGGGTCGCTTAATTCTAATTCACCGTAGGGCATTTCTTGTGCATTATATGACGTTTTATACGTTTAATATTGTTTTGAGTACGTACGCCTTTATTGATATTTTACGAAATATTTTTTCGGACTCACACCAATATATCGAAAATATAATTTTTATTTGTATCTCTTGAAGGATATTCTTTTTTAACACCTCGTTCTTTTACCTATAGCAACAGAGATGAGCGACGACCAAAAATTACCGGAAGAGGCGGGTCCCTCTGGGGTAAGACCTAGACTGCCGGCGCCAATGGACTGGTCCTTGGTCCGAATCACAGACATCCGGTCTGGATTTGATTGTAAGTACCATGTAGAAATTAGTTAATTTTAGTTGGCTTTATGTGACTGAAAGTAGTCTCTGCACGTTTATTTTTTTATTTACTGGCCGAAGTAATCACTTTCATTCCTTGGGATTATAAAAGACTTTGGCCACGGAGTTGCTAAAGTTCCGCAAGTTACCCCAAAATATATGTCATGTATTAAACACGCACATTTCACGTCTAGATGACAAGGACAAAGATGTCGAGGAAGAGGTCGACACCACAACGAGGCGCGAAATTACTCCTCACACCTCTCCGGGTAAGTAATTAAAACTTTTAATGTTCGTTCTTGCGAATAACCATCATATTTTTAATTATCAACCATTAACATATTTTATATACACTTGAACTTGACATTGCATAACTTTAATCAGATAGTATAACAGTATTATTAGTTATTCGGGCCATATTGCTCCGCTCGCATCTTATTCGCGCCATGAGTATGGAAATAAAATTATAAAAAAGAAGCGGCGCCCCGCGGTGTTACCAGCGATTAAAAAGTATGTACTTATCCTCTATGCCTTTTTTGTACCGTTTGTATTCAAAACTTTTGGTTGATTAGTTGAAAATGTTACAAAGAAACGAAGAAACAGACAAACTCAATGTCGTAGTTTTTATTCATTTAAATGTTATCAAAACACTTGAAGTGTTAAGATTAGGACTCCAAAACTATGTTGTAAACAACTTTAAATGGCTATTAAAATTTTTTATAGTGCTATAAATTCTGCACTTAAGATTAAACATTAAAATTTGTAAAAAAATACGAAAAGTTTACAATTTACTTCAAATTTCTAATAGCAATGGCAACAACTTTCGTGCGAATTATCGCTATAAAACGAAATTTTGTATGCTGTAAAGGATATGGTACCATCATGGGTTCGCATCAGTAGAACATCGGCGTTTCTAACACTTGAGTTAAGGTTTTTATTGCACTGCTTGCAAGGTATTCGCTAGTCAGGAAAAATACATGAAATACTAACTTTTCAGTAGTGTTCAATCTCTCTCTCTGTCTCTCTCTCTCTCTCTCTCTCTCTCTCTCTAATTAGAACACTAAAATAATATAGCAAATGTTTAACAGGGCGATCTCCAGCGGGGTGTGATCCAGTTCGCGCGCAGGAATCAACCCAACCAATTAAATTGGATGAGATTGACAAATCCATTGTCAAATCACATCGTTTTGAGCGAGAGCTAAAAAGTTTACAGGCGAGACAAGCTGAGAAAATTCATATCATTGAGAGTGACAGTTCAGACTCGGACGTGGTGCTTAACCACTCTATAAAAACCGACCACGATGACGATCTTATCGCAATATGCCCGCCCAGACATATTATTATTTAGATGAATTTGTTGGGGTCCCGAGAAAAGGGTTGCAGAGCCGTTGCAAACTTGTAACAAAAATTTTATCTGTGGCTTGCCTACTTCAAATGCGCGTGGTCCGATGTATCAGGGAGTCACAGAGCGATTTGATCGGTAGGTTTGAGCCTCTACATGATGATGATATTGATGACTTAACGAACTATGGTGTAACGGACCGAAGTTACCCCCTGGGAGTTGTGCCCTCGCCTTCGGCATTCTATTTAGACATAGCAAAAGAAACGAGATATGTCGCATGGTGAGATGGACCTGGGAGGCGCAGGCAATGAAATACACCCTCACTGCGGCCGTACAAATTAATTCACAACAAATGAAGATGACACGCTTAAGTTTGATAGATCACGCTTACATTTTGGAGGAGTTAGCAACTTATATGGGCCACATATTCAAGGACCCTCATATGGACCCGATTGATGAAATACCGGCGCGTCTTTTCTTTTTTAACCATTCCCCATCCATGTGAACTGAGAATGAGAAACTGAAGAGTTTGCAGCCATCTACTTCTCAATCGCCAACAAAACTATACATGAAATGGTTAAAGATTCTCAGCCATCAACACGAGAAAAGGGCGGTCAAACGCTGACACACCCATCGCATTCTCAACCGTCTGTGTCACAAGTAACCACTGCTGATGGTCGGTTTCTTGATTGCAAGAAAAGGATCCGGAGTGTCCACAGCCATCATCAGCACAGACAGAGTATGTGGAGGATTCGCTGCTAGACATCAGTAGATTGCAACGAACCCACCACCGGCAATGAACAGAAAGATTTCCCGAATGTAACATGTAAAACACTTGAAGCTGTAGTGTTCTGTTCAAAGGAGGAGGAGTTTCAGGTAGCCTGCGACACCGATGGCAAATATAAGACCAATATCCGATCAATATTAAAATAGGTTTTATCTTTTTGCAGGATCCCATTGCTGGCTTCAACAAAATAATCCTCGAGGCCACGCAACAATGCCTGGGCAAGTTAGCTTGAGTCCAGCTTAATTCATCTTATCTATAAATATAAAAATGAATTGCTGTTCGTTAGTGTCGCTAAAACTCGAAAATGGCTGGACCGATTTGGCTAATTTTGGTTTTGAAATATTTGTGGCAGTCGAGGGAAGGTTTAAACGATGAGAAATTATGGAAAAATTGCATGGAAAATAGAAATATCAACAATTTTATTTTCCCATACAAACTGTACCTATCAACCTGTCATCTATGTCTGTGTAACCTGTCAAACACTTTATGCGTGCGTTCCGATTCCTCTAGAAATTATTTATATGGAAAAACAACGTTTGCCTTTGTCAGGTAGTTAAGAGATAAATTTAGAATTTTTTCTAGAGCTGATTTAAGATGAAAATCAATTTCGTTCAAAAAGTCACGTTCAACAAGTCCACAATTTTGGCTTTAAAAGTGAGTTGGGTCGCTTAATTCTAATTCACCGTAGGGCAAAAGAAACGAGATATGTCGCATGGTGAGATGGACCTGGGAGGCGCAGGCAATGAAATACACCCTCACTGCGGCCGTACAAATTAATTCACAACAAATGAAGATGACACGCTTAAGTTTGATATCACGCTTACATTTTGGAGGAGTTAGCAACTTATATGGGCCACATATTCAAGGACCCTCATATGGACCCGATTGATGAAATACCGGCGCGTCTTTTCTTTTTTAACCATTCCCCATCCATGTGAACTGAGAATGAGAAACTGAAGAGTTTGCAGCCATCTACTTCTCAATCGCCAACAAAACTATACATGAAATGGTTAAAGATTCTCAGCCATCAACACGAGAAAAGGGCGGTCAAACGCTGACACACCCATCGCATTCTCAACCGTCTGTGTCACAAGTAACCACTGCTGATGGTCGGTTTCTTGATTGCAAGAAAAGGATCCGGAGTGTCCACAGCCATCATCAGCACAGACAGAGTATGTGGAGGATTCGCTGCTAGACATCAGTAGATTGCAACGAACCCACCACCGGCAATGAACAGAAAGATTTCCCGAATGTAACATGTAAAACACTTGAAGCTGTAGTGTTCTGTTCAAAGGAGGAGGAGTTTCAGGTAGCCTGCGACACCGATGGCAAATATAAGACCAATATCCGATCAATATTAAAATAGGTTTTATCTTTTTGCAGGATCCCATTGCTGGCTTCAACAAAATAATCCTCGAGGCCACGCAACAATGCCTGGGCAAGTTAGCTTGAGTCCAGCTTAATTCATCTTATCTATAAATATAAAAATGAATTGCTGTTCGTTAGTGTCGCTAAAACTCGAAAATGGCTGGACCGATTTGGCTAATTTTGGTTTTGAAATATTTGTGGCAGTCGAGGGAAGGTTTAAAACGATGAGAAATTATGGAAAAATTGCATGGAAAATAGAAATATCAACAATTTTATTTTCCCATACAAACTGTACCTATCAACCTGTCATCTATGTCTGTGTAACCTGTCAAACACTTTATGCGTGCGTTCCGATTCCTCTAGAAATTATTTATATGGAAAAACAACGTTTGCCTTTGTCAGGTAGTTAAGAGATAAATTTAGAATTTTTTCTAGAGCTGATTTAGATGAAAATCAATTTCGTTCAAAAAGTCACGTTCAACAAGTCCACAATTTTGGCTTTAAAAGTGAGTTGGGTCGCTTAATTCTAATTCACCGTAGGGCATTTCTTGTGCATTATATGACGTTTTATACGTTTAATATTGTTTTGAGTACGTACGCCTTTATTGATATTTTACGAAATATTTTTTCGGACTCACACCAATATATCGAAAATATAATTTTTTTTTGTATCTCTTGAAGGATATTCTTTTTTAACACCTCGTTCTTTTACCTATAGCAACAGAGATGAGCGACGACCAAAAATTACCGGAAGAGGCGGGTCCCTCTGGGGTAAGACCTAGACTGCCGGCGCCAATGGACTGGTCCTTGGTCCGAATCACAGACATCCGGTCTGGATTTGATTGTAAGTACCATGTAGAAATTAGTTAATTTTAGTTGGCTTTATGTGACTGAAAGTAGTCTCTGCACGTTTATTTTTTTTTTTTTACTGGCCGAAGTAATCACTTTCATTCCTTGGGATTATAAAAGACTTTGGCCACGGAGTTGCTAAAGTTCCGCAAGTTACCCCAAAATATATGTCATGTATTAAACACGCACATTTCACGTCTAGATGACAAGGACAAAGATGTCGAGGAAGAGGTCGACACCACAACGAGGCGCGAAATTACTCCTCACACCTCTCCGGGTAAGTAATTAAAACTTTTAATGTTCGTTCTTGCGAATAACCATCATATTTTTAATTATCAACCATTAACATATTTTATACACTTGAACTTGACATTGCATAACTTTAATCAGATAGTATAACAGTATTATTAGTTATTCGGGCCATATTGCTCCGCTCGCATCTTATTCGCGCCATGAGTATGGAAATAAAATTATAAAAAAGAAGCTGCGCCCCGCGGTGTTACCAGCGATTAAAAAGTATGTACTTATCCTCTATGCCTTTTTTGTGCCGTTTGTATTCAAAACTTTTGGTTGATTAGTTGAAAATGTTACAAACAAACGAAGAAACAGACAAACTCAATGTCGTAGTTTTTATTCATTTAAATGTTATCAAAAGACTTGAAGTGTTAAGATTAGGACTCCAAAACTATGTTGTAAACAACTTTAAATGGCTATTAAAAATTTTTATAGTGCTATAAATTCTGCACTTAAGATTAAACATTAAAATTTGTAAAAAAATACGAAAAGTTTACAATTTACTTCAAATTTCTAATAGCAATGGCAACAACTTTCGTGCGAATTATCGCTATAAAACGAAATAGGAAATTAATTGTATGCTGTAAAGGATATGGTACCATCATGGGTTCGCATCAGTAGAACATCGGCGTTTCTAACACTTGAGTTAAGGTTTTTATTGCACTGCTTGCAAGGTATTCGCTAGTCAGGAAAAATACATGAAATACTAACTTTTCAGTAGTGTTCAATCTCTCTCTCTGTCTCTCTCTCTCTCTCTCTCTCTCTCTCTCTCTAATTAGAACACTAAAATAATATAGCAAATGTTTAACAGGGCGATCTCCAGCGGGGTGTGATCCAGTTCGCGCGCAGGAATCAACCCAACCAATTAAATTGGATGAGATTGACAAATCCATTGTCAAATCACATCGTTTTGAGCGAGAGCTAAAAAGTTTACAGGCGAGACAAGCTGAGAAAATTCATATCATTGAGAGTGACAGTTCAGACTCGGACGTGGTGCTTAACCACTCTATAAAAACCGACCACGATGACGATCTTATCGCAATATGCCCGCCCAGACATATTATTATTTAGATGAATTTGTTGGGGTCCCGAGAAAAGGGTTGCAGAGCCGTTGCAAACATTGCAGGGCCTGTAAACTTGTAACAAAAATTTTATCTGTGGCTTGCCTACTTCAAATGCGCGTGGTCCGATGTATCAGGGAGTCACAGAGCGATATTTGATCGGTAGGTTTGAGCCTCTACATGATGATGATATTGATGACTTAACGAACTATGGTGTAACGGACCGAAGTTACCCCCTGGGAGTTGTGCCCTCGCCTTCGGCATTCTATTTAGACATAGCAAAAGAAACGAGATATGTCGCATGGTGAGATGGACCTGGGAGGCGCAGGCAATGAAATACACCCTCACTGCGGCCGTACAAATTAATTCACAACAAATGAAGATGACACGCTTAAGTTTGATAGATCACGCTTACATTTTGGAGGAGTTAGCAACTTATATGGGCCACATATTCAAGGACCCTCATATGGACCCGATTGATGAAATACCGGCGCGTCTTTTCTTTTTTAACCACCCATCGCATTCTCAACCGTCTGTGTCACAAGTAACCACTGCTGATGGTCGGTTTCTTGATTGCAAGAAAAGGATCCGGAGTCCACAGCCATCATCAGCACAGACAGAGTATGTGGAGGATTCGCTGCTAGACATCAGTAGATTGCAACGAACCCACCACCGGCAATGAACAGAAAGATTTCCCGAATGTAACATGTAAAACACTTGAAGCTGTAGTGTTCTGTTCAAAGGAGGAGGAGTTTCAGGTAGCCTGCGACACCGATGGCAAATATAAGACCAATATCCGATCAATATTAAAATAGGTTTTATCTTTTTGCAGGATCCCATTGCTGGCTTCAACAAAATAATCCTCGAGGCCACGCAACAATGCCTGGGCAAGTTAGCTTGAGTCCAGCTTAATTCATCTTATCTATAAATATAAAAATGAATTGCTGTTCGTTAGTGTCGCTAAAACTCGAAAATGGCTGGACCGATTTGGCTAATTTTGGTTTTGAAATATTTGTGGCAGTCGAGGGAAGGTTTAAACGATGAGAAATTATGGAAAAATTGCATGGAAAATAGAAATATCAACAATTTTATTTTCCCATACAAACTGTACCTATCAACCTGTCATCTATGTCTGTGTAACCTGTCAAACACTTTATGCGTGCGTTCCGATTCCTCTAGAAATTATTTATATGGAAAAACAACGTTTGCCTTTGTCAGGTAGTTAAGAGATAAATTTAGAATTTTTTCTAGAGCTGATTTAAGATGAAAATCAATTTCGTTCAAAAAGTCACGTTCAACAAGTCCACAATTTTGGCTTTAAAAGTGAGTTGGGTCGCTTAATTCTAATTCACCGTAGGGCATTTCTTGTGCATTATATGACGTTTTATACGTTTAATATTGTTTTGAGTACGTACGCCTTTATTGATATTTTACGAAATATTTTTTCGGACTCACACCAATATATCGAAAATATAATTTTTATTTGTATCTCTTGAAGGATATTCTTTTTTTAACACCTCGTTCTTTTACCTATAGCAACAGAGATGAGCGACGACCAAAAATTACCGGAAGAGGCGGGTCCCTCTGGGTAAGACCTAGACTGCCGGCGCCAATGGACTGGTCCTTGGTCCGAATCACAGACATCCGGTCTGGATTTGATTGTAAGTACCATGTAGAAATTAGTTAATTTTAGTTGGCTTTATGTGACTGAAAGTAGTCTCTGCACGTTTATTTTTTTTTATTTTTACTGGCCGAAGTAATCACTTTCATTCCTTGGGATTATAAAAGACTTTGGCCACGGAGTTGCTAAAGTTCCGCAAGTTACCCCAAAATATATGTCATGTATTAAACACGCACATTTCACGTCTAGATGACAAGGACAAAGATGTCGAGGAAGAGGTCGACACCACAACGAGGCGCGAAATTACTCCTCACACCTCTCCGGGTAAGTAATTAAAACTTTTAATGTTCGTTCTTGCGAATAACCATCATATTTTTAATTATCAACCATTAACATATTTTATACACTTGAACTTGACATTGCATAACTTTAATCAGATAGTATAACAGTATTATTAGTAGTTATTCGGGCCATATTGCTCCGCTCGCATCTTATTCGCGCCATGAGTATGGAAATAAAATTATAAAAAAGAAGCTGCGCCCCGCGGTGTTACCAGCGATTAAAAAGTATGTACTTATCCTCTATGCCTTTTTTGTGCCGTTTGTATTCAAAACTTTTGGTTGATTAGTTGAAAATGTTACAAACAAACGAAGAAACAGACAAACTCAATGTCGTAGTTTTTATTCATTTAAATGTTATCAAAACACTTGAAGTGTTAAGATTAGGACTCCAAAACTATGTTGTAAACAACTTTAAATGGCTATTAAAAATTTTTATAGTGCTATAAATTCTGCACTTAAGATTAAACATTAAAATTTGTAAAAAAATACGAAAAGTTTACAATTTACTTCAAATTTCTAATAGCAATGGCAACAACTTTCGTGCGAATTATCGCTATAAAACGAAATAGGAAATTAATTGTATGCTGTAAAGGATATGGTACCATCATGGGTTCGCATCAGTAGAGAACACATCGGCGTTTCTAACACTTGAGTTAAGGTTTTTATTGCACTGCTTGCAAGGTATTCGCTAGTCAGGAAAAATACATGAAATACTAACTTTTCAGTAGTGTTCAATCTCTCTCTCTGTCTCTCTCTCTCTCTCTCTCTCTCTCTCTAGAACACTAAAAAAATAATATAGCAAATGTTTAACAGGGCGATCTCCAGCGGGGTGTGATCCAGTTCGCGCGCAGGAATCAACCCAACCAATTAAATTGGATGAGATTGACAAATCCATTGTCAAATCACATCGTTTTGAGCGAGAGCTAAAAAGTTTACAGGCGAGACAAGCTGAGAAAATTCATATCATTGAGAGTGACAGTTCAGACTCGGACGTGGTGCTTAACCACTCTATAAAAACCGACCACGATGACGATCTTATCGCAATATGCCCGCCCAGACATATTATTATTTAGATGAATTTGTTGGGGTCCCGAGAAAAGGGTTGCAGAGCCGTTGCAAACATAGGGGCCTGTAAACTTGTAACAAAAATTTTATCTGTGGCTTGCCTACTTCAAATGCGCGTGGTCCGATGTATCAGGGAGTCACAGAGCGATTTGATCGGTAGGTTTGAGCCTCTACATGATGATGATATTGATGACTTAACGAACTATGGTGTAACGGACCGAAGTTACCCCCTGGGAGTTGTGCCCTCGCCTTCGGCATTCTATTTAGACATAGCAAAAGAAACGAGATATGTCGCATGGTGAGATGGACCTGGGAGGCGCAGGCAATGAAATACACCCTCACTGCGGCCGTACAAATTAATTCACAACAAATGAAGATGACACGCTTAAGTTTGATAGATCACGCTTACATTTTGGAGGAGTTAGCAACTTATATGGGCCACATATTCAAGGACCCTCATATGGACCCGATTGATGAAATACCGGCGCGTCTTTTCTTTTTTTAACCATTCCCCCATCCATGTGAACTGAGAATGAGAAAACTGAAGAGTTTGCAGCCATCTACTTCTCAATCGCCAACAAAACTATACATGAAATGGTTAAAGATTCTCAGCCATCAACACGAGAAAAGGGCGGTCAAACGCTGACACACCCATCGCATTCTCAACCGTCTGTGTCACAAGTAACCACTGCTGATGGTCGGTTTCTTGATTGCAAGAAAAGGATCCGGAGTGTCCACAGCCATCATCAGCACAGACAGAGTATGTGGAGGATTCGCTGCTAGACATCAGTAGATTGCAACGAACCCACCACCGGCAATGAACAGAAAGATTTCCCGAATGTAACATGTAAAACACTTGAAGCTGTAGTGTTCTGTTCAAAGGAGGAGGAGTTTCAGGTAGCCTGCGACACCGATGGCAAATATAAGACCAATATCCGATCAATATTAAAATAGGTTTTATCTTTTTGCAGGATCCCATTGCTGGCTTCAACAAAATAATCCTCGAGGCCACGCAACAATGCCTGGGCAAGTTAGCTTGAGTCCAGCTTAATTCATCTTATCTATAAATATAAAAATGAATTGCTGTTCGTTAGTGTCGCTAAAACTCGAAAATGGCTGGACCGATTTGGCTAATTTTGGTTTTGAAATATTTGTGGCAGTCGAGGGAAGGTTTAAACGATGAGAAATTATGGAAAAATTGCATGGAAAATAGAAATATCAACAATTTTATTTTCCCATACAAACTGTACCTATCAACCTGTCATCTATGTCTGTGTAACCTGTCAAACACTTTATGCGTGCGTTCCGATTCCTCTAGAAATTATTTATATGGAAAAACAACGTTTGCCTTTGTCAGGTAGTTAAGAGATAAATTTAGAATTTTTTCTAGAGCTGATTTAAGATGAAAATCAATTTCGTTCAAAAAGTCACGTTCAACAAGTCCACAATTTTGGCTTTAAAAGTGAGTTGGGTCGCTTAATTCTAATTCACCGTAGGGCATTTCTTGTGCATTATATGACGTTTTATACGTTTAATATTGTTTTGAGTACGTACGCCTTTTTATTGATATTTTTACGAAATATTTTTTCGGACTCACACCAATATATCGAAAATATAATTTTTATTTGTATCTCTTGAAGGATATTCTTTTTTAACACCTCGTTCTTTTACCTATAGCAACAGAGATGAGCGACGACCAAAAATTACCGGAAGAGGCGGGTCCCTCTGGGGTAAGACCTAGACTGCCGGCGCCAATGGACTGGTCCTTGGTCCGAATCACAGACATCCGGTCTGGATTTGATTGTAAGTACCATGTAGAAATTAGTTAATTTTAGTTGGCTTTATGTGACTGAAAGTAGTCTCTGCACGTTTATTTTTTTATTTTTACTGGCCGAAGTAATCACTTTCATTCCTTGGGATTATAAAAGACTTTGGCCACGGAGTTGCTAAAGTTCCGCAAGTTACCCCAAAATATATGTCATGTATTAAACACGCACATTTCACGTCTAGATGACAAGGACAAAGATGTCGAGGAAGAGGTCGACACCACAACGAGGCGCGAAATTACTCCTCACACCTCTCCGGGTAAGTAATTAAAACTTTTAATGTTCGTTCTTGCGAATAACCATCATATTTTTAATTATCAACCATTAACATATTTTATACACTTGAACTTGACATTGCATAACTTTAATCAGATAGTATAACAGTATTATTAGTTATTCGGGCCATATTGCTCCGCTCGCATCTTATTCGCGCCATGAGTATGGAAATAAAATTATAAAAAAGAAGCTGCGCCCCGCGGTGTTACCAGCGATTAAAAAGTATGTACTTATCCTCTATGCCTTTTTTGTGCCGTTTGTATTCAAAACTTTTGGTTGATTAGTTGAAAATGTTACAAACAAACGAAGAAACAGACAAACTCAAACTCAATGTCGTAGTTTTTATTCATTTAAATGTTATCAAAACACTTGAAGTGTTAAGATTAGGACTCCAAAACTATGTTGTAAACAACTTTAAATGGCTATTAAAAATTTTTATAGTGCTATAAATTCTGCACTTAGATTAAACATTAAAATTTGTAAAAAAATACGAAAAGTTTACAATTTACTTCAAATTTCTAATAGCAATGGCAACAACTTTCGTGCGAATTATCGCTATAAAACGAAATAGGAAATTAATTGTATGCTGTAAAGGATATGGTACCATCATGGGTTCGCATCAGTAGAACATCGGCGTTTCTAACACTTGAGTTAAGGTTTTTATTGCACTGCTTGCAAGGTATTCGCTAGTCAGGAAAAATACATGAAATACTAACTTTTCAGTAGTGTTCAATCTCTCTCTCTGTCTCTCTCTCTCTCTCTCTCTCTCTCTCTAATTAGAACACTAAAATAATATAGCAAATGTTTAACAGGGCGATCTCCAGCGGGGTGTGATCCAGTTCGCGCGCAGGAATCAACCCAACCAATTAAATTGGATGAGATTGACAAATCCATTGTCAAATCACATCGTTTTGAGCGAGAGCTAAAAAGTTTACAGGCGAGACAAGCTGAGAAAATCATATCATTGAGAGTGACAGTTCAGACTCGGACGTGGTGCTTAACCACTCTATAAAAACCGACCACGATGACGATCTTATCGCAATATGCCCGCCCAGACATATTATTATTTAGATGAATTTGTTGGGGTCCCGAGAAAAGGGTTGCAGAGCCGTTGCAAACATTGCAGGGCCTGTAAACTTGTAACAAAAATTTTATCTGTGGCTTGCCTACTTCAAATGCGCGTGGTCCGATGTATCAGGGAGTCACAGAGCGATTTGATCGGTAGGTTTGAGCCTCTACATGATGATGATATTGATGACTTAACGAACTATGGTGTAACGGACCGAAGTTACCCCCTGGGAGTTGTGCCCTCGCCTTCGGCATTCTATTTAGACATAGCAAAAGAAACGAGATATGTCGCATGGTGAGATGCAGGCTGTTCGACGGAACAAATGAGGATAAAACCTACAACCTGTGTATGAGTTTCTTCTTCAGCTTTAAGAAGGATCAAGCAGACGACATTGCCACCCACATGTCAAAATTAAAGAACATCTGGACTGAACTGAATCAAGAACTCAAGAAGGACAGTAACCAAGAGCTACCCGAACTGCTACTTGTTTGTAAAATACTGGACACGCTTGACGATTCATACTTCAGCTTCAGAAGTAGTTGGCTCCTCCTGCCCAAATCCAACCGTACCGTAGAAAGCCTAACCAGTCATCTCTGCGCATTTGAAAGGGCCCTGCAAGGTAACAACGCACCTTCGCATCAATCGGAAGCCCTGGTTTCCAATACGGAGAAGAAGGACAAGAAGCTTAAATGCAACTACTGCCTAGGTATTGGCCATAGAGTACGCAAAAAGTGTTTTATTGTGTTGTTTTTAAAAAGTGTTTTAGACACTCATGGAATAATACAGCGACTCGTCACCCCGTATACACCGGAACAAAACGGAGTAAGCGAAAGGGATAACAGAACCCTAGTTGAGACAAGCAGATCGATGATGTATGCTCATGAGCCATTACCACAAGTGCTTTGGGCAGAGCTCATTAATACCGCGGCATATATTCTGAACAGAACAGGCCCCACAAGTTCAGATAAGAAATCTCCGTATGAACTTTGGTATGGAAGGAAACCTATTATTAAACATCTCCGAATAATAGGCTCAACCGCATACGTCCATATCCCAAAGCAGAAGCGTAGAAAACTCGACAAAAAGGCGATAAAAGGTCGACTTATCGGGTACGATGAAGATTGTTACCGTATCTGGGTCACAGATGGAAAACACCCGACGATCGTCCGCTCTCGTGACGTAATCTTCGATGAGAAACCTCTTCCGATCTGTAATAGTGAAATTCCTAAAACAGAAGTTGAGACGAGAGAATACCCGTTTTCCATAACGCCCAACACGAACTTAGAAAGAGAAGTTGCAGCTCCAGAGCAAACTCACGTTCACGAGGGAGATACACCCGAACCAATCTCCAACGACCATGATTATGTTCTCGAGGGAGAAGAATCGGATCAAATCCTCCACGAAGACCATGACCATGAAGAAGAAACCACAGTTCCAGAAGAATTTTACGACGCTGAACCACCGCCACCCGGCTATAATCTTAGAGATCGCTCACTGATTCGACGTCCTGAGAGACTAAGAGATTACGTCTGTATCACTGAAACATTCCCAAATAATTTCGCAGACGCTATGAAAAGGGACGATCGCGAAGAATGGCAAAGGGCAATGGATAGCGAATTGAAACCCTTCGAACACCAGAACGTTTGGACGCCGTGTGCACTGCACAAATGGAAGAAAAGCACTTCCCTGCAAATCGGTTTTACGGATCAAACGAAATCCAGATGGCACGATCGACAAATACAAGGCTCGACTTGTCGTAAAAGGGTACCGACAAAGGAAAGGAGTAGACTATGACCAGACCTTCAGTCCTGTGGCACGCCTGGCTACTGTACGAGCATTACTCAGTGTTAGTGCGCAGGAAAACTTACACCTGGTCCAATTCGACGTCTGCACAGCCTTTCTGAACGGAAAGCTCGAGGAAGAAATATTCGTTCAACAGCCAGAAGGGTGCATCCTCACGGAAGGAACGGCTACGTCTACCGTTTTCAAGCTTAACCGTAGCCTGTACGGACTTAAACAAGCACCAAGGTGCTGGAACTCTTGCTTTCAAGAGATCCTATTGGATATGACCTTCAAACAGTCCGAAGCTGATTGCTGCTTATATTCAACAGAAGTAAACGGAAAGAAACTACTGATCACGTTGTACGTCGATGACGGATTAGTGATGAAGACACAGCTAACGCCTTCTTAGAAGATTTGAAGAAGAAACTGCGCATAACGACGAAACCAGCGACATATTATCTTGGTTTTCAAATCCATCGAGGAAAGGATGGCACCATCTTCATCAACCAAGAGGCATACGCGAAAAAGGTATTAGACCGCTTTCAAATGAGTGACTGCAATCCCGTTTCTACACCGATTGAGAGAGAGACTCTTCAAGAAGGGAAAGAAGAAACGGAAGATTCCTGTTTCCCATATAGAGAAGCTGTCGGTGCTCTGGCATACTTAATGGTTGGTACTCGGCCTGACATTGCTTATGCCATCGGAGTTGTCTCAAGAAAGTTGGAGAAACCTAGAAAGACAGATTGGCTCAAGGTAAAACGTATCTTGCGCTACATCAAAGGTACCATTTCGCATGGGATCTCCTATAAGGCTGGTCTTAAACCTGGAATCCTAGAAGGATTTAGCGACGCCGACCACGGAGGTGATCCAGAAACTGGACGTTCTACGACAGGAGTGATCTGCCGCTATTCTGGAGGCACAGTTTCATGGATCAGCCAGCGACAAACATCGGTCGCTATCTCCACTACTGAAGCCGAAATTGTGGCAGCCAGTGAAGCCGACAGAGAACTAATGTGGCTTGCTAGAATATACCAGGCATTGACTACAATTGCGGGCGTACCGGTCCTGCATGTGGACAATGAAGCTGCTGTTCGTCTTGCTCACAATCCCGAGTTTCACAAGAGAACGAAGCATATCCGGCTCAGACATTTCTACGTCAGAGAATTGGTAACTGAAGGTATCTGCAACGTTGTAAGGATCGGACAAAGGATCAAGTTGCAGTCCGTCATATGCAGTTCTACGCCAGGCGCTAGGATTGTGTACTATGTAAATGTTTAGGGAAAGTGTTGGAGTTAATACATATAGAAACTCATTAACAAAAAAGTAAACATAGACATAGTGACAATAAGTGTCTTGACTTATAAAAAAAATCGGACAGTTCGTGAAGTAAAACAAAATAGAAAAAACTGTGATTTCGATAAAATTCTAAAAACATCCGCGTAATAAATTCTACATTATAAAAGTGTGTTAGTATATTATTTCGTAACTGCCTGCGCTCTGCAATTTAAAGATCTCTGTAAGATCGAGAAAGACTCTGGTAAGATCTTTAAATCATATCAAGATGAGAAATAAATAGGTACAACTAATATAAGTTAATATAACTTTCTGGTTTATTTTCAGGTGTACCTGTTCACAATTTTCCAAATCGTTTGAATAACCCAACCCCAGAGCTCTTTAAAAAATGTGTTGAGCTAGCAGGTAAATCTTTCAGAGGCATGGTAGATGAACAGATCCATGAGAGTAAGAAAATTTGTGATAAATGCTTTAATGAAAATGTAAAAAAACTACGGTAAATGTAAATAACTTTCTTTAACTCCGGCGTAATTCAAAATACAAATACAAATAAATTTTAAACGATAGAGATAAATCTCTAATGAATTAATCAACAAGCAGAATTCTTCGGATAAATTCATAAGTGATTTTTCTCTATAGTTTAAAATTTATTTGATTTGAATTACGCCGGAGTTAAAGTTATTTACATTTACCAAAACTACTACAAACATCTCAATAAAGTAATATCTATCAAGTATTAATTTAACACAATGTATGCATAGATTCCTTAATTAAATATGAATTATGAATTAGCCATGATATAATAATAAAAAATATGTAGCCTTGATAACTGTGTCAGGTCACTTGCTTTTAATTCAATATGCTTGAGCAACCTGAGTTCAAATCCCGGTGCTGGCATTAATGAAGTTTTTGATTTTAAGTGTTGATTAATGATATATTACATGCTCAGTGGTGAACAAAAACTTAAAAATATTTCGAAGGTGTGTTAAGTCCACAAATTCGCAACATTTATGCCTTAATAACTTTTGAACAGGGGAGACCATTGCCCATCTGTGTGATACTATTACATATATGCTTTACTTTAACTTCTTTGTGACAAAATCAATAATAAAGCTAAGCTTTCACTCTAATTATAAACTTTTTGTTGGAAACACACAATAAGTAGTGAGTTTGATAAATCTATTGTATATAACCAGTTAACTTCCATACATTTTTTAACCTTGAAGACTGGATTGATACAAATATTAATGAAACATTTATCTCTCAGGATGATGTAAGAGAAATGTTATTTATTTTTTAATTTGTGTATATTTTTATTTTCAGAATCTTCAATAATTTTGGGAGTGTATATTGATAACCTTTTACCATCTACATACCAACTAACTGTACTACCCGCAACAGGTAAAAATTATATTTTTTTATTTTGAAAGAAAATCCACAGTATTTAAAAATATATATATAAATATTACTTACTAAAACTTGAAGCCAATTTGGATTTACATTCTTTAGCTATAGTAAAAATATAGTGTATAGTAAAAAGCAAATAACTTTTAATACTTAAAGACAGGCAGAAGAGAAGGTAAAAATTATTTTTAACTATTTGTATTAGCACTTACAAGAAGGTTTGTGTATGGCGACTCCAAAGTATTAAGTTTATTCAACATTATTCTTAATTGATTCCATTGTGTTGTTGACATGAAAAGACGAAGAATTATGTTTATAATAATACAATGTGATCTTATTTTAAATCTCTCTTAACTCTTTTAACGGTGTTATGGCCACGCAACAGTGTTGCACGAATGGGCAGGTCCGTCTGGGTAAGTACCACGACCTCACAGAAGACCGGCGTAAAGCAGAAGTGTTGC